CTGGCTGGGGAATTCTGGGAGTTGAAGTCCACATATCTTAAAGTTGCGAAGGTTGAGGAACGCTGTGTATGGAAACCAGACTTTGGCACCTCACTCATGCGTCGTTCAACATCGTAATCGGACACAGTGCCTAACACCCAACTGTGAGTTGGGGTGAAGGGGGTGGTTTATTTAACTGGCCTTCACCTAGCATTGCATGAACCAGACAGTGGCGTGTTGCATTCTGACAATAAGTGGAGCCATCTATGAGCAGGTCTACCGGATTCACCGAAATCATTTCTGAGTCTGTCTGAATTGCCAGGCGATGGACCCTCCGTTTAAGGCACTCTACGAATGAGCGGTCGATCAACAACGAAGGACTCTGAAGGCTTCCAAAACCTGCCATGGCTAATCCAAGTTCAGGCCAATTTAAATTAAAAGACAGGGAAGTCCACAGCGTTGTAGGTCCTGAGATCAACTCATGCTGCTGATCCTTAGACAATGTACAATATGAAACCTTTTTCCCGGGTAAGGAAAAACCACCTTAGAATCCATATGCATAAAGACAGGAATGAAGTTGCATTTTTTCCCCCAAAAGCAAAGTTTCCACTATACACCTGGTAATTCTTTCTTGATAGGCTATGCATTTTCTTTTTAAAAAAAAAACTGTACAGAATACATACATTTGGATGGACCCACACTTACGACGTATTTGCAATAGGCCCACTGAAACCGACAGGATTTAAGTTAGTTAAGCCCCATTTCATATTCATGGGTCTAAAGCCAACTCATTCCTTTTTTCTTCTTCGTGTTTTTGGTCTGTTTTATTCTCTCTCGTGCACGTAAATCACAGCAAGAGAAATCAGCAAAATGACAGAAAAGGCACCTGAGGAGTAATTCACGTCTATTTACATATCAACAGAGACAGAGAAAGAGCACAATTGTATATTGATGGCAAAGCTGTGTATAACTGTGACAAAGACTGCCAAGCTAGACACATCATTTCTGAAGGCAATCAAGAAGCAATGAAATTCAGTTCAGTTGAGCGGGAAGTCCAGGAGAAAAATAGGTAAGGAAAATTCTCAAAGTGGGGAGAGACGAACAAGTGACAATTTACACCTTCAAATATCCTTTACACATCGTTCCGGAACTCATAGAATCTCTGATCCATTTAAAAGTTGGTCTAAAGGCAGAGTAGAAAGAGGTTAAAAGAAAGCTGGGGACATTGAGGGCTTCTATTATCTTTGGATAAACAAACTTGTAAAAAAAGAAAACCACACACACAACAGGGTTGTTCTTTTTTAGAGATTGGAATTCGTAGCACCAGAAAATCCAGCAACCTGTGACTGGCCC